TCAAAATGTATCCTCTCCTCCCCTCCTACATCCTCTACAGTCGTCTATTTCCTCTTTCCTCACCTCTCTCACCCTTTGTCCCCTTTTTTCTCCCCCATTCCAGCAGTTCTCGTGTCCCTTTCTTCTGTCTTATTGGTTGCATTTGATTCTTTTGTTCCCTCGTTTCCTTCTTGACGTCTCCTCACCGCTCCGCTCTTTTTTCCTCCTGTCCTCAAATTCACGCATCGCTTCCAATTCACCTTTTCATTCTTCAGACCTTCCCCCTCTCTGCAACCATCTTACTCATCTTTGTCTCATTTCTCCTCACCGTTGACCTCCTCAGTCCTTCTCTCCTCTAAAGGACAGGGGGAGAAAATGAGGACAAAGCGAAAAAGAAATAAGAGACATCTGGAAAAGAAAGAGCGGGACAGAAGACATGTCTCTCGTCTTTACTCAGTGTGTAACAGTGATCATCTTCTCCTCTTTCCTTCTGCTCTTATTGAGGAATAATGTCTGGAACAACCTTTATCACTGCACTCCAGACTCAAGGGAGAAGCCCCCCCACCACCACCACCACCACCACCACCTCCACCTCTTTCTCCACCACCAATCACCTCCATCTCATCCCCTTGTTCACATGTGAAGTCGTTCTGTGGATTATGGCTCCTCTCATTTCTTGGCACTGAGATGTATTATCATATTAGTGGAGGATGACGTAATGCGTCTCAGGACATTTGTCCTTCACACACACTCTGTCCCTCCGCAGATGACGTCACTGGCTTTGTGTCGTAAAGGGTTTTTTTTCACGTTTGATAACGTCGCCATCTGGTGGCGGTAGAGCGGTATTGATGAATTAACGGGAAGAAAAGGAGTAAATAGGGTGGAGCGATGATTCCTGATGGAGTCCTGATGGATGTCCTTGGCTGTAGCTGTAGTCACGTGGTCTGTGGGGTCAGAGACGCAACGATGGAGCCACACAGTTCAGGTACGACTCGATTACTAATCAGGGGCCCACCGAGATGTTTGGGAGCTCGTTGCCAATGACGCGATTGTTGGAGGAAAGTCATCCATTGTTTTAGATCAATAATGTAAAACTTTTAACTATATTAAGAATTATATTAATAATAATAATATATAATAATATCATTTATAATGTAACCTTGATCCTACATGGATTCGGCTGCATGTCCGGTTTCCTCAAATTAAAATATAATCACAAAACTAAAAAGTTGAATATTTGAAAAAATTAAGATCAATCCCTTCGACCCGACAACAGAACAAAGGACAAAAAATGTTTTATGACTTACTATAGTATGACTTTTATGTTTTTTCATGCTATACTATGGAATTTTTCAATATTCATGTCAAAATATGCATCTGGGGGTTAATTGTATGTGTGAATGTGAGAGTGAATGTTTGTGTCTGTGTGTCAGAGACTCTTCCTCCTCACGTCCTCCTTAACGTCTCTGAACAGACTGCAACAAACATCAAGTTTGGCAACCAGCTTTTATTTATTTAGCTCTTTTAAATGTTGCTTCTAGCTGCAGTTTATTGCACATATTAAGACCAACCTTGAGGTAGTTGGTCCTCTCGTGCAGAACTGTGGACCGAACACCATTTACAAAAAAAAGGACAGACAAGAGAAAGAAAAAGTCACGCCTGAACAGTGGGACCACTTTTGTTTTGTATGTGATGCAAAAAGTTGTGTGTCTTGTGTTGTAATGTTTCCAGTGTGAAGTGTTAGTTTGTGACCTGATGAATCTTTTGTGAAGAACTGGCTTAAGAAGCATTTACAGAGGAATAAATCTACCATGCGTGTGTTCACTGTGGTGTGTTCCTGGTGAAGATGGTGGTGTTCTCTGTGGGTCTGATCATCATGGTGTCTGCCGTCATCATTGTTCACCTCGTGGACTTCAAGAAGCACCAACAAAGAAATGGATGTCAAACACGTCACGCTGCCCGGGAGGAAAGCTCCCACTTAAAGGTCACCTTCTAAACCCGTGATGATGTTCCACTGACTCACAGCTGGTGGCAGCAACACACCAGGAGAAGAAAAGAGGAAGACGAGCGCAGAGCAGCAAACATGGACGCAAACTATTTAGGATTTAAAGGATTTATAAATTCAGCTTTGCAGATATTTCCTGGTGAAGGAAAGACATTAAAAACGTGACTCAAAGATGCATTTTGGCAAGAAAAAAACTTCATGGTAACATTTTTACAAGAAAGCAATAATCCATTGATTACACACAATATATCACACACACAAGACCATGTCAATGTGTGTTTGGTGAATGTCATCTTGAATGTATAATCAAGACCAACTATATGTAAGCGAATAACCTTAAATATACCGTATAATACTGCATACGGTCCAATTTAAATGATAAAATACACATTGCATATTTATCTGCATGCATGTACGGAATTTATTGTACATAATTCTGTTCAGCAGGTTTTTGTTTTTACCAAATAATCAATATATGATGATATTAAAATAAAGACACTGATGAAAAAAATCGTTACACATATTTGTCACAGTTGAAAAGATGAGTCCTTTTTTTTGTCTGAAAAATAAAATAAAAATATATAACAGAAGCATCCTGCATCATGCAGCTTAAATCTCACCAATCAGGTGAAGCCTTAAAAGTCTAAATGTAATAATGTAGGAAATGATCAGATTAAAAGTGACATGAAGAATCAAACCAGGAACCAAAGCTGAAGCTTCCTGCAGGACAACAACATATTTATTACTTTTTCTAAGTTGACCTTCAATATAAAAGATGTAATTAAAATATCTCCAACTGTGATGCTAAAAAAAGCTGCTTGTGTGTGATGTTAGTAACATTTAATCATTGATTTTTAATCTCTCCAATGACACGTTTGTGTGGAGGAGAATCTTTCTGCATTAAAGCAGATCACATGAAATAAAACACAGAAAGCTTCAATAACGCTGCAAACTACCAGCAGAATTTGGGGATTTGGGAAAACCTTCCTCTTTAATCGTCACTCTTCTCCACCAATTCGTAGCCGGTCTACGGATCAGTCGATTCAGCGGCAGACGTCACGGAGCTGTAGGAGGGACCTGGAGCTTCTGCTGGGCTCATGTTCTCCTGTGGTGCTGATATCACCTTCAGAGCTTTTACTAAGTCCTGCAGGATAAATCACATACGTAAGAAAAGGTTACTTGCTGCTTCTTTGTAATGGAGCTATTTTCCACGTGGGGAATCATCTCCTGATGATTAACAGTCACTGATTTAATTACTTCTGTCTCTGTGTTAAAAATAATGAGTCTGTTTTTTCTAAAATGCATTAAACTGCTACAAAACACACATACGGTCTCTTTTCACAAAGAGTTCAGATGAATCTCTCGGGGTAGAAAGCACATCACACTGCAGCATGAGCCATAAATAAAGCAGCTAGAACTTTAACACCATGTAGAGTTGGTTCCTCTTTCACACTGTAAATGATACTTGTTCTGTGTCTCTGGACTTGTTCTCTGTGTAAAAGGAGCTTTTTAAAACAAGTAAGAAGCAGAAAACCATCGGCTCAGGAGGAAAGTGGCTAACTGGTGTGAGCCAACACGTGGAAGCAAAGGAGGGTCACGTGACCACGTAGTGGACGTCATGTGACTACCAACATGTGGCCTCATTTAAATCACATTGTTTCAGTATTTCAGACACCAGCGTGGGATTTGATCTCCGCACAACGAGTTTTTAAGGTTTTGACATGTTGCTGTTGGGCGAAGTGGGAAAATGTGGATGACGGACTGAGACACAAACAAACAACACGTGCACAGCAGGAAGAAACACGGCTGAAGAGGACTAATGGCCACAAGAGACCCGGTTTGGATCCACGGATCATCAGGTTCCTCCCAGCGGATCTGAGCACAAGCAGCAGGTGAGTGCACGTAGCAGGTGTGTGCACGTAGCAGGTGTGTGCACGTAGCAGCACGAAGCCAACTGGAAACAACCTTGGCACAAGGTTTGGATTCTAATACATTTCTTAAATTTGTTTGAAACAAAAACGTAATGCTTACCTTAGCAGCTTCGTAATTAATACATCCATGTTTCCGCATAAAACCTGCAGGTCAGTGATAGAAGAAGAACAAACAGCCCTTTAAAGATCTGAACTGTTGTACATTTACTTTACTTGAGCTGCAGATAAAGTGACTCCATCTTTTGGGTGGTGTCTAATTTACTCCATCCTCAAACAGAAGCACATGTTGACGTGTTGGATTTGATGTGTTGGGATGTTTGTATCAAAACAGCAAATCATGACAATCCCAGTGAGATAAAAAGCACCTTTTGGTAAAATATCACATGTATATTTTAACAGACGTGTTTCCTTATCTGATGCAGTAAAAGACGTCCTGTGTTGTACAGATTGTTCAGCGCTCTGAGGCAAACTGTGATTTGTGATATTGGGCTATTTAACCAAACAGGTGGGTACATAGTTATGGAGGACTTGGAGACATTGAGTTTCTATGTAGAGGAAACAAAGAGGATTTTACAGATGTTGAGATTATTTGTTGGAACGTTTACTTGGACTTACGGATTCTTTTCCTTCGATCATTATAAAGCCTGACGTATAGAGCCACAACTATGACAATGAGAATGCAAACAGCAATCACCCAGCCAAGGTGAGAGGGAGGATCTGTAAAACAAAACAAGAACCAGATCAGAAGAGTCTTCGTGGTTTAAATGACGCAGCACAGCTGAGAATGTGTCACATGTTCACAGCCTGATGTGCTTCTGACGGACTGAAGTTTGGATTGTGAAAACATCTTTAACGTGATCTATAGTAAGAAATCATTTGATTTCTTCTATTAAAACATTTTTAGTGATTAATGGTTGAAGGTGTTTTATGATACAGGGAGATGAACTCCATCATTGTGATTGAGAGTGAGTGTTCCGTATCACTGCGCACTCAAAGTAACAGGTTAGCTTTTGCACACCCGGTCGACACATCTGAAAGTGCTGCTGATGTTTGAGTTGTGAGTCCTGCAGGTCACATGGAGGTCACATGACTCTGAGCTGCTGGAGTCCACTCGGTCCACGATCAGTTCAACTGGAGACACTGGTCCTGAGGGGGGGGGAGGTTTCTGTGAAGAGTTTATGAAACATGGCGGCAGAAACTATCAGTGAAATGTTTACAGACTCACCTTGAACTGTGACCTTGTATTCAGTCAGTAGTTTGTCTCCTGTAGGTGTTGCTGCTACAGCAGAATAAACTCCACTGTCGACCTCTTGTACATTCTTCAATATCACTGAGAATTTATTCTCACCAAACTGAACCCTTCCAGTGAAACGTAGATCGACATGTGGTTCTCCACCAGGTATAAATCTTACTAAAGTGACTGTTTTATTGATTTTCCAGTCAACATATAAAACCCCCTCAGGAGGATCAGCACGAAGCTTGAGGAGCAGATCACGTCCCTTCAGCACAAACACAGGAGTCACAATGGTTCCTGTAAAAACAGTAGACACATGATACAATAAACATCACACACAATATGTGATGAATCATTCACTGCTGAATGTTCCTCCATCACTACACTTTATTCATTACACATTGAACCAGCGGTTCACCTTCAGCTCATCACTGCTTAACATGAAGTGACAGAAGTCTCTTCAAATGTCTCACGTCGTCTCTTCCTGAGGACACAGAGAAGCTTAACAGCAGAAACTAAACCCACTGAGAGCAAGTTGCTGCTCAAAGTTCTTCTTCTTGACGTGACAAAGTCTTTCCATTCTGTCTCTTTGTCCTCTGTCCCTCCGTCTCACCACACTAATGTCCCCCAGCATCAGCTACACTGAACATGGACGACTTTAGAAAATAAGACGTCCACAGACTGAACGCTGAAGGAGTTAAACTCTGAGAGGAGTAAAGGTCAACATTTGTCTTGGAGGGAAAGAAGCGTTCAGCCCGTTTCAACAAGTGGTGAGAAAGTGTCTAAAAGCACCTGAATGTTTCCTCTGAATCACACACGTCTTCTGTTGGGACACTTAGAATATTCATTGAAATAAGACGTGGACATTAAGGAATGAAAGAGAACTTAAGGAAGTATTTCCCTCGGAAGCTGAATGTGTTTACGTAAATTATGAGAAAATATGAAATAATCTTGTTAACTGGCTGAGAGCAATGATATTTATCTACTAACATTTGCACAGTTCATCTTCAAACCTCTGATTCTTTATACTGAGACAACTTCCTGCCTCTGAGCTCAGAACAAGAACAACACGAATCCTGATTAATCACAAAGAAACTGTTCAAAAATGGAGAAATAGTGCTGCGGTATAAAAGCTTTGACCCGAAATATATAAATCAAGTTCTCACCTTGTGCTTCACATAATGTGAGCAGAGAAGCAAAGAGAAGAACGACGCACGACCTCATTGTGCAGAATGGAAGCTGGACGATGAAACCAGGAAGTGAAGAAAGTTTCACTTCCTGTTTCTCCGGTTTGACTCACGAGGAAACAAAAAAACACAAAAGTAAAGTGTGAAAGAAAAGAGAGTTTTTATGAATCCAGATCCGCTTGAGGACGCTTCTCTGGCGGATTGTGCGTTGCGGATGAAGGGTGGAGGTGAACTAAAGGGTGGAGGTGAACTAAAGGGTGGAGGTGAACTAAAGGGTGGGGTCGCTTCTCTCGGAGGGTAAATGGAGGCGAGCTGGGTGGAACCAGCTGGACTAGTTGGTTCAGATCAGATAACGAGAATAGAAGCAACGACTCCGTGAAGAGAAACAGAAACACGAGTTTCTCTCAATCAGCTGTGCGACAAAATGCGATAAGAAGCTGAAGGTGGAGGCCAGAGGAAGGTGGTGTTGAGGCAAAGCACCGAAGCTGGTGGAGAATTATTTGAAGGAAACGAGCAGAAAGTTCAAAACTAAGACATAAAGAAGAAAAAAATCATATCCGATTCAAAGTGTCGCTGGTCTTCTTTAGAGGAATCCAGGAGCGATTTGCACGAAAACGAGTTGAGATCAAAAGTGAACAATGTTGCTACAAAATGTCCGGAGAAGTTACTGGAAACGGGTCGATTCTTCTTCTTCCTCTTCCGCTTCTGCTTCTTCTGCTCATATTTAATGGCGGACTGCAACCAACGTTTAGGTGCATGCCGCCACCTACTGTACTGGAGTGTACAGTCATGTCATTTAAACTCTACTCCATATCCCTGAGTCTTTTAAAAAGGTAATTCGAGCCTTCCTTGTAGTTCTTATTCCTTCTCCTTCTGATCCCAGTATCCCTACCAGATCCACTCTGCCTCCTGAACCTTATCTTTAGGCACCTGCCTTTCCACTTCATTCAATTTACAGTTCAGTATTACATGTTCAGCATTTTCTTTAACCCCACAGTTTTCATAGTTCTCACTATTCCTTTTCCCCATTAAAAACAATGTGCCATCCAGCCCTGTGTGATCCACTCTCTCTTGTCGTTGCAATTTCCTCACGCCTGGTATTTTCCATGTAGTTCTTTATGCTGACACTCTTTGGTATATAGTATCTCCCACCTTTCCTGTCTTCCTCCCATCGTTTCTGCCATATTTCAAGACCTTTCCTTTTAACCACTGCTTTACCTTCGCCTTTTCCTAGTGGGATTGTAATTATAATTGCTTTAAGCAGTGCCTCTCTGCTCAGTCTATCTGCCATCTCGTTCCCTTTAACTCCCTCATGTGCTGGTACCCAACAAAACTGAATCTCTATGCCACCCTGATGCAATCTAAATAAGCTGTTACAAAGTTCTATTAGTAGATCTTCTCTTATTGATGTTAATGACTGCATACTTTTGATTACGGCCAAAGAGTGTGTGCACAGCACCACCCTATCAGGTCGGACCTCTTCTACCCACTGTAGTGCAATAATGACTGCTACTCTTTCTGCTGTGTACACTGATAACCGGTCAGATAGTCTTTTAGAGATATGGATTTTAAATTCTGGTGTATATATTACATTATATTCCAACTTCCACACATTCCTGTTTATTCTTAGGTCTGTATAAATCTTTAAGTAATTATAGTAACTGTTTCTTATGTAGATGTTTGTTTTGACTCCTATTTCCTCCATTCTCCATTCGCTTTTCTTTTCCAATATATTAATATCAACCTTTACTTCTGGAAAGAGCCATGGTGGAATTCTACTGACTGGGTTGGCCATGGTGACATTTATGGCTTCTATTTCATATTCCCTCTCTCTCATTTCTCTTGTCCATCCAAACCTGAACCCCTGAAACTTTGTATACTCTCAACATTCCTGTATTGTTTCTTTTGCTGGGTTTTCTTTCCCACTTCCTTTCAATCTAATCCAATACGGCAGCGGTTCCCAACTCAACAATGCCCACTTTGAAATCTGAAAATCTTTCGCGGCCCAAACCTTTAATCACAACTCTGATCAAAACATAATGATTAAATGACAAGAATTTAACCAAAATCAAACATCCGCGAGCAAAAGTTGGTCTCCGCGAGGTATTTGTTCGCTTGCGAAACGTGAACGTTGCTCGCGAGGAGAATCTCTGCTCGCGCTGGAAGGAGTTTTCTACGCGCTCGCTGTTGTTCTTTTTGACAGTGAGGTGGAGACGGTGCGTTCAGGGTCCGATCGATGCCGTGAGGTGCGTCCGCTCCCGCCGCCCCCCTCGCCATCCACGCCTTAAATATTCGGCTGCTTTTAGAATAACTTATGTTCCCCGTTAAGATGGTTCAGCTACTGTAGAGAAAAGGACGCCGTCTCTCGCTCTTTAATCTCATTAAATGCTCGGAGAGAACGACAGCTTTGTTTCTCCGACGCGCCCTGAAAGCAGCTCCGTATCTCACGCGCTTGAGCGACGCTCCGCATCTCGCCGCCGTAGACGAGCTTTGGCGTGTTTGGCAGAGTGTACAACCAGTATGGATCAACCAATTAACCAATTGATCCACATAGGCGCTCCGGACTATAAGGCACTGTGGTTTCTTTGAGGAAATTAAAGGCTTTTAAGTGCGCCTTGGAGTGCGGAAAATACGGTATATTTACTTTAATACCACAAGAGGGCGCCCCGTTTGTTGAACAACGACAGGCGGACGAGAGCAGCCTTATTGTTTTATTAATCTGTCCGTTAAATTGTTTGTGCTTCATCAACTAATGTTTCACATAACTAATGTGCCGCATCATACATTTTTATATTAATTTCAAACTTTTAAAAATTTAAAATTAAAAAACTATTTATTTATTGTAAATGACCTCTCGCGGCCCACACTTTGGGAATCGCTGCAATACGCCATCGCCAGTTTCTCTTCTTAATTCTAAATCTCTCCAGCTCACTGGGCGGTTTCTTAGATACTGTTTCCCCCGCCTTACAAAAAAGGCGCTTACACGACACGATGAGGCAGGAATGCTCATAAGATTACGTGCTAATACAAATAGATGTGGGTACACATGTTTGTGTTTGACCCAATATTTTAGCGGGTCTTCACTCCGTGGAATGTTTGATTCAGCCAAATATCTGGTGGTCTCCACAATAAACATAAACATCCATAATTCCACAATACAAATGACAGACTTTGTCTGCCTTTTGCCAACCTTGTTAGAGGAAATCAAATTGAAGAGCTCCCACATCTCGGAGCGACCTCTCTCTGCCACAGGTTCCATTGTAAATTTGCTACTACTACAACAACACTGACTTTGACTGTATCAAACAGACAAGCCCGAACCCTGTTTCGCGCCCATTTGAATCAAATCGAAGCTGTCACGTGACTGTGCGCCGGACCGAAGCTTCGGACGTCACTGATCACGTGATCAGCATCGAACGAACCGAGCACCGAAACATTTGCTTCGTCGTGCACTGGTTCATATTTCGACACAGGCTTCGAAGCAGGAGGGTCGGAGGTAACAACACTAGTGATTAGACGTACTGGGAGATTCGCTGCCTCCACACAGACGCTCGCCCCACCCTCACTGTGCTTAGGGGCAAGTGCACAGATTATTCCGTGATAAACTGTCAGCCCAATTATAATAGTTTTACGGTGTTTGTTTTTACTGATGCACTAATACATTATTGTTTTGTACCACAATATGATCTCTGTTCCTTGAGTAAACCGAACCTGTATTGTTCAGTCCGGCTCGAGGACTTCCCCCTCTTATGATGAAGAAAAGACCCTGGTGTTATTCCAGTAGTTAGAAGTAAAACAGCCCCCCCCCCTACTTGGTGTCACAGCAGGTTCCTCTTTCTTTGACACGTTCTCTGTTCTCACGGAACATTTTAAATATGGACCTATAGAGGAAGTGTTTGTCTTTGCCAGTGCAGTGAGCTACCAAGATAAGTTAAAGGTGTTAAACTGAAGCAAAACGTCAACTAACACACACAGTACAGCACTTTATATTCATACAGTGTATTGACACAAATTGTTGACATAATAACGTTTGGTCCTTTTTATTCTCTCAAATGTTGGTTTTGTTCCAGGGAGCAGAGATGAAAAGCTTCCTCTACGACACACTCACATGATATGAATAAGGCCTTTAAAGTGGAGCAGGTGAGGTACTTTGTGGCGTGGTGCTCGTCCTCTGACTCACGTCCACTTGCTCTGTGCAAAAACCCAGGTGCTGGAAGTCGACCTTGGATGTAGATGATTATCTTTGGCACCACAAGATAAAAAAAACATCGACGCACAAACATCTTGATTATCAGATGACTCAGAACAACATGTGACTATGTGAAAGAGCACAGACTCTCTGTCGTACTAAAGTGGAACAATAATATAATAAATAATAGTTTTTCCAACAAATAGAAGTAGATTTCTGAAAACATTGAGGGGAAGTTAATATGAATCTTATAAAGTTTGTTTTAGACTTTTTGAAGTGTAAAAAAAAATCTGCTTCCTGACTTGAATGAAAGAAAAAAAATTCCTTCTTGCAAAAAATTCATTTTTCTTTTCAACACTAAGAATTAAAGACAAAGAATCAGTACAACAATTTAAGTGATTACCAAAATCTTATTAGGATGCTAAAATAAATGTTATAATAAGAAGCCTTAACAATACAAACACAATAAAAGTTGAAACACTTTTGTCAACAACGTTTTCTTCTTATTTAAACACATAAAGAAGCAGAAAAGGATCGAAGCTAGTAAACAATCACACAAGCTTTACTCGTGTTACTCCCTCAGTCTGCAGTCTGTGGAAATAATCACTTGTCTGATTTTCTAAATACATTCATGGCTTCTCTGATTAAAGCTTGAGGAACAATAGTTTGGGTGAAAGAAAGTCCACAGGGTTTCATTTTTTGAAATTGCAAAAACATTTTCATGTAAAGAAAAACTTTAAAACATTTGTTCCACCTCTTTAAATGTTTCACTGAGGACGAGAGACATTTAAAGAGACGTCTTGCAACCATTGAGAGGTGATGAGCTGAAGGTGAACCGCTGGTTCAATGTGTAATAAATAAAGTGTAGTGATGGAGTAACATTCAGCAGTGAATGATTCATCACATATTGTGTGTGATGTTTATTGTATCATGTGTCTACTATACAACAGATACGGTTATCATGTTTAGGTACACAGGACGGAAGCCTTTTATCATTTAAAGCCCCCCCCCCCCCTCCTCCTCCTCCCTCAGCGCTCCAGTTTGTCCAGTAAGGTGAATTAGTGTCGCACCGTAACACATCGTATAATACTGCACACGGTTCAATTTACAATCGTGATGAATACTCATTGCATATGTGTCTGCTGTACAGTATTTACTCGTACATAATTCTGTTCAGCAGGTTTTGTTTTGGGTGTAAACTTAGAACTTGTTAAAGCTTCATACTGATCTTGTGTTTCAGTGATTAAAAGGTCTCGTGTTCTTCTCTGGTTTACTGTGAGTTTTTACCAAAGAATCAATATGTGATGTTATTATCGTAAAAACACTTGAAACATGAATGATGACAAAATATGTTATGGAAAAATAAAACATTTAATGCCAATCAAGCTTTTTTCCTCTGTTGTTTCACACATTCATCACAGTTTTGATTTGATTACTTTTTTTTCTCCAAGTAAAAATACTTAACAGAAGCATCATGCAGCTTAAATCTCACCAATCAGGTGAAGCCTTAAAAGTCTAAAGTGTAAATCGTTGCTCTTTAGGAAATGATCAGATGAAAAGTGACATGAAGAATCAAACCAGGAACCAAAGCTGAAGCTTCCTGCAGGACAACGACATGTTTATTACTTTTTCTACATTGATCTCAAATGTAAAATATCTAATTACTAAGACCTCGAATTGTGATGCTAAAAAAAGCTACTTTTAAATGTGTGTGATGTTTAGTAACATTTAATCATTGTTTTTAATCTCTCCAATGACACGTTTGTGTGGAGGAGAATCTTTCAGCATTAAAGCAGATCACATGAAATAAAACACAGAAAGCTTCAATAACTCTGCAAACTTCCAGCAGAATTCCAGGATTTGGGGAAACATTCCTCTTTAATCGTTGAAGGACCTGCCGGGTTTCTTCACCTCAGCGTAGAGGCTCTCTGACTGATTCCTGCCTGTCGCCGCGGCTGCCTGAGGAGATCGAGCGTGAAACTTCACCGAGCTGTAGGTGACGTCGTTTGTTGGGTTCTGAGGTGCAGATGTTTCGTCCTGCAGGATGAATCACATACGTAAGAAAAGGTTACTTGCTTCTTCTTAAAGGAGCTATTTTCCTCGTGGGGAATCATCTCCTGATGATTAACAGTCACTGATTTAAATACTTCTGCCTCTTTGGGCCCTTTAAAGATCTGAACTGTTGTACATTTACTTTACTTGAGCTGCAGATAAAGTGACTCCATCTTTTGGGTGGTGTCTAATTTACTCCATCCTCAAACAGAAGCACATGTTGACGTGTTGGATTTGATGTGTTGGGATGTTTGTATCAAAACAGCAAATCATGACAATCCCAGTGAGATAAAAAGCACCTTTTGGTAAAATATCACATGTATATTTTAACAAAAGTGTTTCCTTATCTGATGCAGTAAAAGACGTCCTGTGTTGTACAGATTGTTCAGCGCTCGGAGGCAAACTGTGATTTGTGATATTGGGCTATTTAACCAAACAGGTGGGTACATAGTTATGGAGGACTTGGAGACATTGAGTTTCTATGTAGAGGAAACAAAGAGGATTTTACAGATGTTGAGATTATTTGTTGGAACGTTTACTTGGACTTACCCATTCTTCTCTTTCGATCAATACAAAGCCAGACGGATAGAACCACAATTAGGATGAGAGTGAGAGCAGCAGTGCAACTTGCAATCACCCAGACAAGGAGAGGATCTGTAAAACAGAAGAAGAACCAGATCAGAAGAGTCTTCCTGGTTTAAATGACGCAGCACAGCTGAGAATGTGTCACATGTTCACAGCCTGATGTGCTTCTGACGGACTTTGTTACGTGATCTAACGTATATATATATATAGAAATCGTTTAATTTCTTCAATTAACACAGAGAATTTAGTTCTACCGGCATTTATAGTCAATAATGGTTGAAACTATATGGTGTTTTTTTGGGGGGGAAGAGGGTTCATTAATATCAGGAAATCGTCTCATCTTTCAGTCTTACCAGCATGGACGGTGCAAAGGTGTTTAGCAGTATTAAAGTCCTGGGTCCAGTGAACCTGGTTGCTATGGTTACAGTTGATCACGTTGTTCAACAGGTAGACCTGGAGAGAAGCCCCAGAGGTCGTGACCTCTGGTCGCTCTCCTCCCTCCTGAATGCAGACCCGGTCGACACATCTGAAAGTGCTGCTGATGTGAGCGTTGTGAGTCCTGCAGGTCACATGGAGGTCACATGACTCTGAGCTGCTGGAGTCCACTCGGTCCACGATCAGTTCAACTGGAGACACTGGTCCTGAGGGGGGGGGAGGTTTCTGTGAAGAGTTTATGAAACATGGCGGCAGAAACTATCAGTGAAATGTTTACAGACTCACCTTGAACTGTGACCTTGTATTCAGTCAGTAGTTTGTCTTCTGTATCTGTTGCTGCTACAGCAGAATAAACTCCACTGTCGACCTCTTGTACATTCTTCAATATCACAGAGAATTTATTCTCACCAAACTGAACCCTTCCAGTGACAGTTGCTTTTCCACTAGGATCAAATCTTAGTAAATCAACTATTTTATTGATTTTCCAGTCAACAAATAAAACCCTCTCAGGAGGATCAGCACGAAGCTTGAGGAGCAGATCACGTCCCTTCAGCACAAACACAGGAGTCACAATGGTTCCTGTAAAAACAGTAGACACATGATACAATAAACATCACACACAATATGTGATGAATCATTCACTGCTGAATGTTCCTCCATCACTACACTTTATTTATTACACATTGAACCAGCGGTTCACCTTCAGCTCATCACTGCTTAACATGAAGTGACAGAAGTCTCTTCAAATGTCTCACGTCGTCTCTTCCTGAGGACACAGAGAAGCTTAACAGCAGAAACTAAACCCACTGAGAGCAAGTTGCTGCTCAAAGTTCTTCTTCTTGACGTGACAAAGTATTTCCATTCTGTCTCTTTGTCCTCTTTCCCTCCGTCTCACCACACTAATGTCCCCCAGCATCAGCTACACTGAACATGGACGACTTTAGAAAATAAGACGTCCACAGACTGAACGCTGAAGGAGTTAAACTCTGAGAGGAGTAAAGGTCAACATTTGTCTTGGAGGGAAAGAAGCGTTCAGCCCGTTTCAACAAGTGGTGAGAAAGTGTCTAAAACAGGGGTCTCAAACTCGCGGCCCGCGGGCCAATTGCGGCCCTCGGGACGATATTTTGTGGCCCCATCCTTAATATGAAAGTGTAATGTTAGTGCGGCCCGCAAGTTTTATACTGTAACCCCACTGTCAGCTGCTGTGTGGGACATGTTATGATGTTCTGGTTTCCTACTGTGTGCTTGTCCAGTGAACGTGGCATGCATGTGATTGACAGGGGGGCGGGTCGTGTGTGTCGGCCGAGGTGCAGAGAGCAGGAGGGTGAAATTCAGTTTCCTGCCCTCTTTCGCGCAGGTGATCATGTGACTAACCGTCAGCATCGCTCGTTTAATAAAGTTTTCCTTTACGACTCACACTAACAACACATGTAGCATCTGACGTCACCGACGAGCGTCTCCGTCCATTACTACGCAGCTTCGATCCACGTAACTTCACGTTTGGCTATTAAGGAATTCCACGGTCACGTGACCTTAGGTCTCCCCCGCTGAGTTAAAGGAGGACTAGTGTTGTAGTCTCATTCGGACCGATCCCCCAGGGTGGGGTTCAATGACTGCTTTTGAAAGTGAGTGTTAAGTTGTGTTATTGTTGACCATGCCGTTCGGACGCTAGTCTGGCCCGCGTTCAGTTGAAGTGGGCTGCATCTGGGCCCCAGCTGATTTGAGTTTGAGACCCCTGGTCTAAAAGCACCTGAATGTTTCCTCTGAATCACACACGTCTTCTGTTGGAACACTCAGAATATTCACTGAAATATGACGTGGAAATTAATGATTCTTTAAGGGAAAACTGAAAAATAGGACTTAATTAAAGTTTTTTTCAACAGAAGCTGAATGTGTTTACGGTCTGTGCGTGGATCCAGATCTTCATCTAAATATGGCAAATATTAATACTAATATATATACTCATACTGTTTACTGAGACTATTTCCTGCCTCTAAGAGCTCAGTACAAGAAGGAACAACACAAATCCTGATTAACCAGAAAGAAACACCGATAGTTCAAAATATGTTTTTAACTCAACTTGTAGAAATAGTGCTGCGGTATAAAAGCTTTGACCTTGAAAACCAATCGACAACAAAATACATATAAAATAAAAAGTTCTCACCTTGTGCTTCACATAATGTCAGCAGAGAAACAAAGAGAAGCTCGACGCACGACTTCATTCTGCAGAATGAAACGAGTGGAGAACGTTTTACTTCCCTTCAAAGCAACAACCAATTACTTCAAAGATTGTTAAAATGAAGCCATATATGTCTCTATGTGGTTGACTTGTAACTACCGTCACATCATGACGTGGGCTCATATTTTATTATTAATGGTCTCTTCACAACATCAGCTCCGACTGCTCGTCTGTAGGAACTCTGTACGGCCACCAAACAAAATACTTTATTTAATTAAACCAGAGAAATGTGTCCATCTGCACTAAACACTATAAACATTCCACAGCTTGATGTTAATTCAATCAAATATCATTTATCAAATACAAACAATTTCCTACATATTTAACTCCATCATCTTCATCAGTGCTTCATCATCATTACACATTTCCAGTAGAACATCATCACCACCTTTGACTCAAAGATCACTTTCACATCCTCAGCACTCACCTCTGGTCCTCATCGCGTCCTTGTTGCCTCGACGGGGAAATTTAATAGGATTCCACTAAATATTCGTTAATTCAATGTTAGTAATAAGAAATAGAAGTAGGGTTCCATGTCACACAGAGAGGAGAGCTTCTAATAATAAAGTAACTGCTGCAAACCACAGTGACCTGATGTTTATATTCAGGTCGCAGACGTTTGAGATTAAACTTTTTCTACTTTTGTCGTTACTTTAAAGCTGCTGAGACACAAAAAGAAAATCCAAATAAGCTTCGTTGGAATGAAACGTCTATTCAAACGTGTGTGACCGCTTCAAATTCAATGTTGTTTAATATCAAAGTGTTTTAGTTGCATCAAAAATCTCATCTTCCTACATTAAGGTCCCAAGTTCAACAGCTGATCCTCCAAAGGTGCAAATGTACATCAGGTGTTTATATGACATGATATAAAGTGCTAACTGTCAATAACAGACAAACCATCGACAGACTCAGTCGAGGCTTCAAGACAATATATTCAATCTGAAGTTTGTAGTTCTACATTAACAGAAAGTGCTTTATTTAACATTTTACAGTGCGTTGTCATTTTGTCTGTGTGTCTTTAACTCGAGGTCTTCTGTCGTTGTAAAACAGGAAATATAAAAATACCATGAGAGTGTTTTGGGGTCTTGTGAAACTTGCCTTAACATCACTCATTTGTGTTTTTATATTATAAACAGAGAATTGAGAAGAAACTAAAATTCATAAGACTATAAATGTGTGGAGCATGTGTGTATTAATCATGATTATTTTATAGGAATTATTGTAGGTTGAACCCGTCTGTGTTTGACGTTTGGAAAAAAAGGGGAGGAGCCAAACGAATCAGGCTTCACCTGCAGCTCCCTGATTAGATCACTGTTTTATTTGTTTTGATGGGGGGGTTTACTGTGAAAATTAAAAACTCCACCTGCTATTTTCTTTGTTACAAAGTGTGTGTGTGAGGTGTGTGTGCACTCGCCACACTGAAATAGAAGCAGTAGCTGCAGTCAGCAGTGTGTTAGGCCTTCATGTGAGTTACAGTCGTCCTCCATGTTTTATCTCCCCAGACGTCGTCCAGAGGTTCCATTCAGTCTAAAAGTGTCCGAGCTGTTTCCACGTGATGTTTCCTTCCACTCCGTCACCGTTCACACGTTGCTGATGCGAACACTGAGGGGAGTGTCTCTCGCCCGGCCTCGTTCCCCCCCTCTGTCCCGGTAGTTCTGCTCCAGACAGATCTTCTCTGGATCGGACACATCTGGCACGGGCCCGGCCCCGTTGCTCTGGTACGCGCGCTGCGGGCTGCACGGTTTGAAGACGGGCGCCGTCTTGGTCTTGGCCACTTTGTCGAAGAAACCGAAGTCCGCCACGTACTTCCCCGATGGGGAGAGGGAGACCACGGGGGGGAACTCGTAGCCCCAGAGGATCTCATCCGGCAGGTAGGAGGTGCGCACCTGGCAGGTGGCCGAGGTCGGCTCAATCGTGGCGCTCATGATCACCAGCAGCTCGAAGTCCGCCAACTCTGGATCCGTCCAGCCCCCACCTGGTGGAGGGGGGGGGGGGGTCAATGTGATGGGGGTGTGTGTGTGAGGTGGCGAGTGTGAGTTGGATAATCCAGAGAGTCAGGAGAGGTTTTTCTGCACGGACTTATCTTTCCTGATCGACACGGCGAGCCGTAGTCCAGGGCGGTTCAAAAGGTCTCTCCGGTCGATTCTTCCTCTGGCAGTATCCAGCAGGTCTTTTTGAGGATTCCTCTCGTAGGACACAACAGGTTTTGTTGTCTGTTTTGTTTGTCCCTTCGTCTCTCACTCCTCTTTCCTATGACGTGCAGCCTGTGTCAGGTGTGACCAATCTAGCCTTCGATTTTCAAAGGAAAGAGTTTTTTGTTGCATTGACCTTTTTTTGTGTTTCAGTCCCATCCCAGCCTGCTTCCCCGGAACCTGACGAATTCCCTGGTTTCCCCTGTCGCCCTCCGCGGCTTTGGAGAACTCCTCCAGCCAGCCGGATCATTACCTCTCCCTTCAGCGTGGATTCTATCTACCGGACCGCTCCTGCCGCCTGGACCCCTGCGCCTCTCTGCCTCTCCAGCATCTTCCCCGGCCACGGATCCCGAACTATTTAAGTCCCTCTGCTGCCAAAATAAAATCTTTTTGTCCTCTGAATCCTGCTTTTGAGTTCAACCCTCGTTCTGGCTATCACCCCAGGACATTACGATCTGGCCAAACATGGACTCAGCAGATTCATTTCATTCAGCCTTATCCCACCAGGGACTGCTCTTGGGAGAGCATGAGAAGGCTCTCCGATCACTAAATGACCAACAGGGACACTGTAACCAATGTTTGGACCAAGTTCTCGAGATGATTGTGAAAATGAATGATCATCTGTCTTCTCTCTCCAGTGTCTCCTGCTGACGGAAACCCACCTATGCCACCTCAAGTCCCGGTGCCCCCCACACCTCTGGCCGAGCCTCAGATCCGGAACATCACCTTCCCTACTCCTGACTCTGATGCTGGTGACGTTGGGGGGTGTGAGGGTTTTCTCCTTCAGTGTACTCTTGCCACGACTCAGTCTCCTCGCTCCTTCCCCTCGGATTCAGCAAAAATTTCTGATTGGCCTCTGAAATTTGTGATTGGCCTTCTGAAGGACAAAGCCTTAGCTAGGGCCTTGTCCTTCTCCAGGACCAACACCCTTGAGTCTTATCCTTTCGCTGACTTTGTTGAGAAATTTCGTACCACTTTTAATCATCCACTTGGCCATAATAACGCCTCTAAGCGCTTATTAAACTTGCGGCAGGGAACTCAATCCGTCGCAGACTTTCTCATCGAGTTTCGTATTCTCGCTGCTGAGACAGGTTGGGGTTCAGATGCCCTAAGAGGTATCCTGTTGAATTCGCCCAATGATCAAATTAAGGACCAACTAGCGTTCCGTGACAAACCAGCCTCATTCGAAGAATTAGCTTCATTAGCAGTCAGGGTCGACAACCGCATCCGAGAAAGGAGAGGGACTCAAACTCCCATAAACCATTGCGCGGTTATCCTTCGCCGAACTCAAATTTTCCTAAGCCCCTGCGTGAGCACGGCCCTCATGAGGCCTATCTTCCACCGCTTCCGCAGGTCTCTCGTCCGGGTGACTATCGTTCTACCACAAACATCGAAGTTACAGAGCCCATGCAATTAGGTTGAACCCGCTTAACGCTCGAGGAAAGATCGAGACGCATGCGTAATAAAGAATGCCTTTACTGTGGTTCCCCTCGTCATTTCATTTCTTCCTGTTCAGTTCGAACAAACGATTACGCCCACCAGTAGACGCGGGGATACTGGTGGGTGGAACATACCTTCCTCGTCTCACCCTAGAGTTTGAAAGACCCTCCCACGCTTCCCATGCTTTGATTGATTCTGGTTCTGAGAAAAATCTGCTAGATCCTGGTGTGGTGGAGGGGCATGGTTAGCTCAGCTGCAGGGGGGAGAGCGGGGGAGTGGTTCAGCAGACGGTGCTGGTAGGTGAGGAGAAAGCAGGTGCACTGATTGTCTCTGGTAAAAACAGTGAGCAGGATCTAGATCGGGGGACGTGAGCCGAGCAGAGCTGAGCACGAGAGTGGAGCACGAGAGCTGTGCTGTGCTGTGCTGTGCTGTGCAGAGCTGAGCAGGACAGAGCGGAGCCGAGCAACAACACGACGAGCGGCCTCATTCCTGCTCACTGACCTTGAAAAATAAAAAAACGTATTGCTCTCAACGCGTGTCTGTGCGTCCTTACGAAACCCGGCGGTGGTAGTGCTATCACGGCCACAGTGGCACCCGGCCAGGGATGGACGCGAACGACCACGGAGAGGGCCCGATGCAGCCGGCGGTCGCGCTTGGACAAATGCTGGGATAGATCGCCGCGATGCAGCGCGAGCAGGCCGAGGCCAACCGGCACTTCCTGGGAGCGCTGCAGGCTGCTGCGGACCGGCAGACTCAGGTATTGGAACTATTGGCGGCCCGACCAGTCGCTTCCCCAACGGCGCCGGGTCCCTTGGCGTATATGGGCGTGGTGGTGCACAAGATGAACCCGGGGGACGAGGTGCAGTCGTACCTAGAGATATTTGAGGCGATGGCGCGTGCGTGTGGCTGGCCGGCGGACGAGTGGGCAATCAGCCTCCTGCCGCTCCTAACCGGGGAGGCGCAGACAACGGGGCTCCTCAACCGCCAGGGCAGGAGTGTTGGAGGTGCGGGCAACCCAGACACTACCGGCGGGAGTGCCCGCTAATGGAGGTGGGCCAAACGGTGCGGGTTGCCGGGCCTCCAGCACCCTCCCCCGGTCTGGGAGCAACGTACGGCGTTCCGGTAAGGATCGAGGGGGGTACACATCAGGCGATGGTGGACTCACCATGATCCACCAGAGCCTGGTTCGACCCAGGGCATTGGTGGAGGCATCCCGGGTGAGTATTAAGTGTGTGCATGGGGATATTCACGACTACCCAGTGGTGCCGATAGAGATTAGGTTTGGGGGTAAAAAGCATAGACTAAGGGTCGCGGTTATCTCCCGCCTGACGCACCCCCTGATCTTGGGGACAGACTGGTCGGGGTTTCATAAGTTAGCGGGGCAGTGCGCGGGGGTGCGTTCGCGATCGATAGGGACATGCGGGGTGTGTGCGGCGCTCGGCGGTAACGCGAGGTTGTCCGACGCTGCGGACGGAGAGGGGGAATCGGCGGGGCCTCCTATGGAGACGCCGCCGGCGCCAGAGTTACGCTCCATGGAAGATTTTCCACTGGAGCAGTCTCGTGATGATACTCTACGCTTTGCCTTCGACCAAGTGATACAAATTGATGGTCAAATGGTGCGCCCCGACACTGCATTAGCATACCCGCACTTTTCACTGATTAGGGACAGGCTATACAGAGTGAGTCGCGACACTCAGACAGGTCAGGAAATTACGCAATTGTTGGTACCGAAAAGCCGGAATCCCGAAAGAGATTCTGACTGACCAGGGCACCTCGTTCATGTCACGCACCCTACGAGAACTGTACGAATTATTGGGGGTTAAGTCCGTTCGGACCAGTGTGTACCATCCCCAGACTGACGGCCTAGTGGAACAGCTGAACAAGACGCTGAAATCCATGATTCGTAAGTTTATTCACGACGATGAACGTAATTGGGATAAATGGCTTGACCCTCTGTTGTTTGCAGTACAGGAAGTTCCCCAGGCCTCCACGGGATTTTCTCCCTTTGAGCTGCTGTTCGGCAGGAGACCACGGGGGGTGCTCGACCTGCTTAAGGAACACTGGGAGGAGGGTCCGAGCCCCGGTGAGAATGAGATTCAGTACGTCCTGGACCTGCGAGCCAAACTCACACACTGGGTGAGTTGTCACGTGAGAATTTGCTCCAGGCCCAGGAACGTCAACAACGGCTGTACAACAGAGGGGCCAAGCTGAGACAATTCACACCGGGAGAAAAAGTGCTCGTATTGCTTCCTTCTTCCAGCTCAAAACTACTCGCCAAGTGGCAAGGGCCCTTTGTGGTCACACAGCAGGTAGGGGACGTCGACTACTAGGTGGTGCGATCTGACAGAGGGGGAGCCAAGCAGATCTACCACCTCAACCTCCTTAAAGCATGGAGAGAGTCCGTGTCTCTGGTGTCTGCCAGGCCCAGGAACGTCAACAACGGCTGTACAACAGAGGGGCCAAGCTGAGACAATTCACACCGGGAGAAAAAGTGTTTGTATTACTTCCTTCTTCCAGCTCAAAACTACTCGCCAAGTGGCAAGGGCCCTTTGTGGTCACACGGCAGGTAGGGAACGTCGACTACGAGGTGGTGCGATCTCCCGAGGCTGATGCCGCGTTCGCGACCCTCAAGAACCGCTTCACTTCAGCCCCTATTCTTATCCAGCCAGATTCCGAGCGACAGTTTGTGGTGGAGGTAGACGCCTCTGATTCTGGAGTCGGGGCCGTCTTATCCCAGAGATCAGAGACCGAAGGGAAGATGCATCCATGCGCCTATTTTTCACGTAAACTGTCACCGGCTGAGCAGAACTATGATGTGGGCAACAGAGAGCTACTGGCGGTAAAATTAGCTCTGGAAGAATGGAGACACTGGCTGGAGGGAGCTAAACATCCGTTCGTGGTCTGGACCGATAATAAGAACCTGATCTTTCTCAGAGATGCCAAGAGGTTAAACTCCAGGCAGGCACGCTGGGCGTTATTCTTGGGCGGTTCAACTTCGCAATTACTTATCGACCAGGCACCCGCAACGTATAGCCGGACGCCCTCTCTCGTCTGTACTCCACTAGCTCTCCGGACACCCCCGACAATATCCTGCCTAGTACCTGTGTTTTAGGTGTGACCTGGGCCGTAGAGGACCAGATCCAACGAGGTCTGAACAACGACCCTGACCCTGGGCCTCCTAATCGCCGATACGTTCCGTCTTCTGCAAGGTGAAGCCCTTCTAGGGACCGCTGACCAAAATCGCCGCCAAGCTGATCGTCATAGATCACCGGCACCCCAATACACCCCCGGCCAGAAGGTTTTGCTTAATACAAAGGACATACCATTAAAGGCTTCCACCAGGAATCACTCACCCCGCTTCATCGGCCCGTTTGAGATCCAGGCAGTGATTAGTCGTACTGCTGTGAGACTCAACTTACCCCCTTCCCTCCGTATCCATCCCACCTTCCACGTCTCCCAAATCAAGCCCGTCTCCACCAGTCCTTTGTGCCCTCCGGCTCAACGCCCCCCTCCCCCCCGGGTGATCGTCAACTCTCTGGCTTACATTGTGCGCCGGATTCTCGATCTCTGTCGTCGTGGAAGGGGCCACCAATACCTCGTCGACTGGGAGGGCTATGGCAGGGTGCAGAGGGGGGGGGGGTAGTATCATGAGCTGACTTGGCTTTGGAGGTTTCAGGCTGGGAGAGCAGGTTTCCCTGGTTACCAGGGCGGAGTCTGGTGGCTGCCTGCTGTCACACCTGTCCTGCATTTACGATCGTCAGGAACCCCTCTTAAGGAACAGCAGGAGCACCAGTCTTCGCCAGATCGTTTTGCCTTCCTAGTGGTAACTTGGCCAGATCTCACCCGAGATCAATTTTCAAAGGAAAACGTTTTTTGTTGCATTGACCTTTTGTTGTGTTTCAGTCCCATCCCAGCCTGCTTCCCCGGAACCTGACGGATTCCCCTCTCGCCCTCCGCGGCTTGGGAGAACTCCTCCAGCCAGCCGGATCATTACCTCTCCCTCCAGCGTGGATTCTATCTACCGCACTGCTCCTGCCGCCTGGACCCCTGTGCCTCTCTGCCTCTCCAGCATCTTCCCCGGCCACGGATCCCGAACTATTTAAGTCCCTCTGCTGCCAAAATAAAATCTTTTTATCCTCTGAATCCTGCTTTTGAGTTCAACCCTCTATCACCCCATGACACTCTGGAACTTAACGTCTCACTTTGAACTAGTTCCCCCCCCACCTATATAACACGTCTCCGAACCAGACCAGTGGCCGTCTCCACCTTTGCGGCCGGGCCGGTCATGTCCTCTGGACCAGTGGGGATGACAGGGGCCCCCTCACCCCCCCAGGAGGCATTAAAGTAAACCTGAATTAAAGGGAAGAAAAGGAGTAAATAGGATGGAGCGATGATTCCTGATGGACTCCTGATGGATGTCCTTGGCTGTAGCTGTAGTCATGTGGTCTGTGGGGCCAGTGACGCAACGATGGAGCCACACAGTTCAGGTACGACTCGATTACTAATCAGGGGTCCACCGAGATGTTTGGGAGCTCGTTACCAATGACGCGATTCCTCAAATTATAAAAAGTTGATTGCTTGTGGAAGAAATCAAGATCAATCCCTTCGACCCGACAACAGAACAACACACAAGGACATTAAATGTTTTATGACTTACTATATGTGTGACTTTTCATGATGTATTATATAACCCTCATGAAGTTAGGGCTACTAATACCAGTAGTAGTGGCAGTTATTGGCTCTGGGGGGCACGCTTGCGTTCCGCTCAAGGGAGCTACCCACGAGCGAGGAATCCCTTTTTTTATCCTTCCAGGAGACGTGAAGGAAAGAAGCTCCCGTGTTTCGGTACGAAATAATATAAAACATTCAGAATATTATCATAGCTTACATTTAATTATATTAAGACTGTTTTCCAACTAGACATCCAGACAGCCAGTTGAGAGTGTCAACTGACATAATCCCATCAAATAATTGCAAACTGGAAGTCACTGTTAGCATTACTAGCATCATGCTAGCGAACCTGGGAGAGAATTAATACTGTTTTTAGGTTATTATTTGAAACGTTATCTCTTTGGAACCAATCGGAGTAGCAACGGAGTGGTTATCAGTGTTGCTGGCAGCCTGTTACCATAGTTAACACCGTGTTTAATTTTATAGAGTAAATGTTAAACCCCCACACTGGTGCTCACTGTATCGTGGAGAAAACATCGAGCCTAACCGCTGATGTCTTTGCGTTGCAATTTGGAATGTTATAGGGTGCGTTATTTACAGTTCAGCCATGCATCCATCCATCCATCCATCCATCTTCAACCGCTTATCCGGGGTCGGGTCGCGGGGGCAACAGCTCCAGCAGGGGACCCCAAACTTCCCTTTCCCGGGCCACATCTACCAGCTCTGACTGGGGGATCCCAAGGCGTTCCCAGGCCAGTGCAGAGATATAATCTCTCCACCTAGTCCTGGGTCTTCCCCGGGGCCTCTTCCCAGCTGGCCGTGCCTGAAACACCTCCCTAGGGAGGCGCCCAGGGGGCATCCTCACCAGATGCCCAAACCACCTCAACTGGCTCCTTTCGACGCAAAGGAGCAGCGGCTCTACTCCGAGCTCCTCGCGAATGGCTGAGCTTCTCACCCTATCCCTAAGGGAGACGCCAGCCACTCTCCTGAGGAAACCCATTTCGGCCGCTTGTACCCGTGACCTAGTTCTTTCGGTCATGACCCATCCTTCATGACCATAGGTGAGGGTAGGAACGAAGATTGACCGGTAGATCGAGAGCTTTGCCTTCCGGCTCAGCTCTCTTTTCGTCACAACGGTGCGGTAAAGCGAGTGCAATACCGCCCCCGCTGCTCCGATTCTCCGGCCAAACTCACACTCCATCTTCCCCTCACTCGTGAACAAGACCCCGAGGTACTTGAACTCCTTCACTTGGGGTAAGGACACATTCCCTACCTGGAGTAGGCAATCCATCGGTTTCCTGCTGAGAACCATGGCCTCAGATTTAGAGGTGCTAATCCTCATCCCGACCGCTTCACACTCGACTGCGAAACGCTCCAGTGAGAGTTGGAGGTCACAGACGGAAGATGCCATCAGGACCACATCATCTGCAAAAAGCAGCGATGAGATCCGCAGCCCCCCGAACTGTAGACCCTCCTCCCCCCGACTACGCCTCGATATCCTGTCCATGAAGACCACAAACAAGATTGGTGACAAGGCGCAGCCCTGGCGAAGGCCAACCCCCACCGGAAACGCCTTCGACTTACTGCCGAGCACCCGAACACAGCTCTCGCTTTGGGCGTACAAGGATTGGATGGCCCCAAGCAAGGACCCCCTCACCCCCGTACTCCCGCAGCACCTCCCACAGTATCTCTCTTCAGCCATGCAGCTTATGTTAAGTAGCAGATGGCAATAGTTTGCCAAGGGCCCCTTTTAGAATAACTTATGTTCCCCGTTAAGATGGTTCAGCTACTGTAGAGAAAAGGGCACCGTCAGATTAACCAATCTGTTCGTTTAAATTGTTTGTGCTTCATCAATTAATGTTTCACATAACTAATGTGCCGCATCATACATATTTTTAGATTAATTTCAAACTTTTCAAAATTGAAAATTAAAACCTTTTTATTTATTTATTGTAAATGACCTCTCGCGGCCCCCTAGTGGGCCGCAGCCCACACTTTGGGAATCGCTGATTTACATTATAAGTTGTTGATACAAATGTGTATGTAAACATTTACTCTTTACTCCCTGTTATCCACGTCTTTCATTCATGTCAGTTACTTGTTTTGTTTCTTTATATTGTATGTTAATATTTTATTTATGTTCAAACATGTTTCTGCCATTAGACGCTGCTCATCAGAATCATTTAATGTGCAGGATGATTTCTGAGAAAAGTTGCTTTCGCAGGTTCCTCTTTCTTTGACACGTTTTCTATTTTCAGAGGGAACATTTTAAAAGAAAGGAAGTGTTTGTCTTTGCGAGTGCAGTGATCAACAAGATACGTTAAAGGTGTTAAACTGAAGCAAAACCGCAAATAACACACACAGTACAAACAACATTTTATAGTCATGTAGTTTATTGACATAATAATGTTTGGTCCTTTTTATTCTCTCAAATGTTGGTTTTGTTCCAGGGAGCAGAGATGAAAAGCTTCCTCTACGACACACTCACATGATATGAATAAGGCCTTTAAAGTGGAGCAGGTGAGGTACTTTGTGGCGTGGTGCTCGTCCTCTGGCTCACGTCCACTTGCTGTGTCCACAGTTTGTAGATATAACGTCATGTCCAGGAAACGGGGTTAGTCAAGTTGTCTCGTGTCTCGTGATTTCCTGTTTTATTTTGAAAACGAACCTCCCTCTCGTTTCAGGCAACTTGCCCCTTCCCCCCGTGTGCTGGTCTGATTGTCTGCCCGCCCCTGATTGTTTCCACCTGTGCCTTTTAACCTGTGTGTATTTGTTGTCTGCGTCTCCCTTTGTCCTGTGCTAGTTCGTCGTGATGGGAAGTTCGGATCTTTTGACCGACTTGGTTCTTTAAATCTCGTTCAGTATGAACGAGAAATGAACAAATCTTTTTTTGAGAGGACTCGTTCAAAATGAACGAATCGTTCACGAACGACACATCACTCCTAGTTCGTCTTGTCTCAAGGAACCAGTGTATGTGAGCATCCGTAGCTTTACCACATTTGGGTTCTTATGTTTAGTACATAGTGTTTTATTTCAGTGGCCCTTGGCCTTTTGTTAATGAACTTTGATTTCTTTTGTAACTTTTGTCCACGAGTCGTGCGTTTGGGTTCAGGGCCGTTGTCCGGTCGTGACAGAACGAAGTGGCAGCATGAACCCAGCCGACTCCGAACACTTGAAGGCAGCACTTTGCTCCCAAGTCTTAATCAGCAGGAGGATCCGGTGTCCGCCTACTTTGTTCCTCTGATGAACGTTGAGGTGTAAATGAGCCTCCTTGACAAAGGGCTGAACTAAATCTCTCTTTACAGGAACAGATCTCAAGCCGTCAGAGAGGAAGTTCAAAAGGAGCCTGATGACGAGCAGCTGTGTGCAAACGTCTCCGAGCTTCTTTGAATCAGAGGCCAGCTGTTAGTTTATTGTGAAGCAGAACACCGGTTGTTGCAGCGTGGGGTCGGAGACTCCGTCATGTCTCTCTTTGTGATACTCGGGCTGCTCGTCTGCATTCAGGCTCAAGGTGAGAAACCAACTAGGCACTCAGGTCTTTATTCTATATGTTATATATCAGGGGTCCTCAACGTTTTTCTGGCCAAGGACCCCCAAACTGATGGCGAGATGGAGCAGGGACCCCCATTCTATGGAGTTTGGTCCGTCATCTTTTATTTTGGAGCTTTGCACTCTTTAGCCCTGAGCATAAACGCGATGTGATCCTGTGAATGAACCAGTGAGCAGCTTGAGAAGCTGAATGTGTGTGTTGTGGACTGAAAGATAACGTCTTAATTTGTATTTAAAGACCATGAATAGCATTCTGATTCTGAAGAAATTTAAATTTGTGGGAAAAATTAGTTTAAAAAAAACATTTGGCGGCCCCCTGTTGAAGACCTGTTATAGGTTATCGGTCATTATAATACGAGTAGATGAAATCCAGGCTTCTGATTGGTTGAGAGCGGGTCACATGTTATATAGCTGACCCGAGCGTTCAGTATCACTGCGCACTCAAAGTAACGCGTTAGATTTTGCGCTACAGTTAGTTTGTATCTCGGTGGTGATCGCCGAAAAAAAACGGAAATCCCACAAATGATCAGTTTCAGGCAACCGGACAGTTACGGTGAACTCATGAGCGATGTGAACGAATGAGATGATGCGAGACCCGATGCTGTTTACACGCGCGTACGGGGACTATTTTCTCTCTAGAATACTGAGATGAGACACAACGTTTGGTGGCTACAACGATTTTGTGCTGAAAGGCAGCTATTTACTTACTTTTTATAATTTATTTTATAATTTATAACCGTTCGAGGGTTTAATTAATTAATTAATACATACATAATATTTATGTGTATACATGTCAAACATTCAAGAAGGAGGATTTCTGAAAACCTTGAGGGAAGTTAATATGAATCTTAAAAAGTTTAATGTGTTTCTGCTTTGTTTTAACGTTACATCTTTTTAAAATGACTGATATGTTACAGACTTTTGAAGTCTTAAAGTACTATTTAAGGTAATAATTGCACTTGGTGTAAAGAATAATAATGATTACCTGAAAACTACAAAGTAAAAACTTCTGCTCGAGAATTCTTTTTGCAAACATTTATTTTCTTTTCAGTATTAAGAATTAAAGACAAAGCCTCAATACAATAATGTAAGAGATTTAGGAAGAGAAACTAACTAAATGTACGAAAATATTTTTTAGTATGCTAAAATAAATGTTATAAGTCTTTACATATACAAATGTTAAACTTTTGTCTGAATGACTTATTTATTCTTATATAAACAGAAAAGGAGAAATGCATCAAAGCGAGTGAACAATCAGACAAACTTTCCAAATACATTCATGACTTGTCTGACTAAAGTTTGGGGAACAACAGTTTGCGTGAGAGGAGTGAAGGACAAGGTGAAAACTTAAAGGCAATTGTTCCACCTCCCTAGTCAGTCCTCTGTCCTCAGTGAGACATTTAAAGCGACGTCTTGCAACCATTGAGAGGTGATGATGAGCTGAAGGTGAACCGCTGGTTCAATGTGTAATAAATAAAGTGTAGTGATGGAGTAACATTCAGCAGTGAATGATTCATCACATATTGTGGTGAGACGGAGGGAAAGAGGACAAAGAGACAGAATGGAAATACTTTGTCACGAGAACTTTGAGCAGCAACTTGCTCTCAGTGGGTTTAGTTTCTGCTGTTAAGCTTCTCTGTGTCCTCAGGAAGAGACGACGTGAGACATTTGTACGTTTGTCGTGACGCAGGGGTTAGAGAAGGTGTGCTGGGAAGCAGAAGGTGTTGTTGGTTTGATTCCAGGCTGCCCCATGTTCCGCGTCGAAGTGTCCCTGAGCAAGACACCTAACCCCTAATTGCTCCCCGGGCAAAAATGTGAAAAAGCCATGGGTTTAAAGTGTAATGTAAGTCACTTTGGATAAAAGCGTCTGCTAAGTGACCTGTAATGTAAAAGAGACTTCTGTCACTTCATGTTAAGCAGTGATGAGCTGAAGGTGAACTGCTGGTTCAATGTGTAATAAAGTGTAGTGATGGAGGAACATTCAGCAGTGAATGATTCATCACATATTGTGTGTGATGTTTATTGTATCATGTGTCTACTGTTTTTACAGGAACCATTGTGACTCCTGTGTTTGTGCTGAAGGGACGTGATCTGCTCCTCAAGCTTCATGCGGTTCCTCTGGGGGGGGTTTTAGCTGTTAACTGGAAAATCAATAAAACAGTCACTTTAGTAGAATTACATCTAATGGAAACCAAATGTCCTTTCGTAATTCCACTGGAGGGTTTGAGTTGGCGGAGAATAATTTCTCTGTGATATTGAAGAATGTACAAGAGGTCGACAGGGGATTTTTTTCTGCTGTAGCAGCAACAGATACAGGAGACAAACTCCGGACGGAATACAAGTTCACAGTTCAAGGTGAGTCTGTAAACATTTCACTGATAGTTTCGGCCGCCATTTTTCATAAACTTTTCACAAAAACTCCCCCCCCCCCCCCCCCCTCAGGACCAGTGTCTCCAGTTGAACTGATCGTGGACCGAGTGGACAACAGCTCAGAGTCATGTGACCTCCATGTGACCTGCAGGACTCACAACTCTAACATCAGCAGCACTTTCAGATGTGTCGACTGGTTCTGCAGTCAGGAGGGAGGAGAGCGATCAGAGTCACGACCTCTGGGGCTCTCTCCAGGTCTACCTGTTAAACAACGTGATCAACTGTAACCATAGCAACCAGGTTCACTGGACCCACGACTTCAATACTGCTAAACACCTTTGCTCCAAACATGCTGGTAAGACTGAGAGGAGACAAATTCCTGATAAGTTTGTAGTTTCGGCCTTTCTGTGTTGTAAAGAAACGATTGTGTGTTTTCTGAGTGAATTCTGAGTTCTGAGCGTCTCTAAAGCTCCTCGTCAGGGACGCAGGGGTTAAATACAAACTCAAGCAGAAAGCACAGACGTGTTGTGTTTGTGATGAATCCACCTGTGGTGTGTTTCAGGTTCCGTGTTCCTGGTGAAGATGGTGGTGTTCTCTGTGGGTCTGATCATCATGGTGTCTGCCGTCATCATTGTTCACCTCGTGGACTTCAAGAAGCACCAACAAAGAAATGGATGTCAAACACGTCACGCTGCCCGGGAGGAAAGCTCCCACTTAAAGGTCACCTTCTAAACCCGTGATGATGTTCCACTGACTCACAGCTGGTGGCAGCAACACACCAGGAGAAGAAAAGAGGAAGACGAGCGCAGAGCAGCAAACATGGACGCAAACTATTTAGGATTTAAAGGATTTATGAATTCAGCTTTGCAGATATTTCCTGGTGAAGGAAAGACATTAAAAACGTGACTCAAAGATGCATTTTGGCAAGAAAAAACTTCATGTAAAAATCATAGTTCACCTTTAAAACAAATGCTGATAATCCATTGATTGTACACAATATATCACACACACAAGACCATGTCAATATGTTTTCGGTGATTGTTATCTTGAATGTTTAATCAAGACCAACTATATTTGAGCAAATAACCTTAAATACACTGTATAATACTGCATACGGTCCCATTGACCAATAAATACATTTCATATGTGTCTGCATGTACAGTATTTACTTGTACATAATTCTGTTCAGCAGGTTTTGTTTTGGGTGGAAACTTAGAACTTGTTGAAGCTTCATACTGATCTTGTGTTTCAGTGATTAAAAGGTCACGTGTTCCTCTCTGGTTTACTGTGAGTTTTTACCAAAGAATTAATATGTGATGTTATTACAGTAAAGACACTTTGATACACTGAATGACTAAATATGTTATGGAAAAATATATTTTTTTATTTCTCTGCTGTTTCACATTAGTCTCTATTAAATCCCCTTTCCACCAAAAAAAAAGTTGAAATTATGAAAAAATTGTCAGTTACACCTAAAGATAATTGAACAACAAAACACCGGTAAAACAATGGTGAAACACTAGTAGGACACTTTTGAGACACTCGTAAAACATCGTCATCTCTCTGTGACTTTCTGCTGCGTCACTTCCCCCCTCATCAGACTCTCAGTCCCGCCAATGATTTGTTGATTGACAGAATATCTAGAAAGCGGCATTTCTCAGATTTCAGAATCCGATGCAAATAGTTAAGGCGTCACGGTACTTTGAATCCTCCATGTCACTTTCCGTCGCCGGCGAAAGGCTTCGATTTAAGAGGGTTAAAAGACAGACAGTCCGTCTGTCCAATCAAAAGGCTCCTATCTGCTATAAGGCCCACCCCTTTCCGTGAGGAGTTAATGTTGTGTTTTCCTATTTGCTGTTGGGTTTTGCCCTCCAGGGCCACCGTACATGTCCACCTATCACAGCTCCCCCTCCCTCCCCACGTGCCTTCCAGCCTTCGCAGCAACGCAACTTGCGAACGGGTCCTAAGTCAGCAAACAATGGCGTCTGGTAGTGACGACGCTCCGCTTCTACTGTAGGTGAAATACGTTTAAAGTTTCATGGCGTGCATGATTAACGTTGAATAAAGCTTCAGGAGATGTAACAATGCACCGTTGAAAGTAGAAGAGGAAGAGGTCTGCTATTAGCACACAGAATGAGGAACAAATGGCAGGAAGGTCAAAAGGGTCATTCTCGCAAGCAGCTGACAAAACCCCTCAAATGGAAAAATGTTAAACTTCTGTTTAATCATTTCTTAGAAAACGACGCCAGGTTTTCTAACTAAAAATGTAAATGTTGCAGTAGGTGGAAGGAAGCAGCCTTACCACTCGTCCTTTCTACCATTTGCTCTAAAGCCTAGTTTATGCTTCAATCCCCCCTTGCCTCCTTGCTGCCTTTTCACACCCCCTTGCCTCCTTGCTGCCTTTTCACACCTCCTTGCGTCCTTGCGCGTGTCAACGCATTTTTCCAGACTAGCGTCGAAAGCGACGCAAGCCTCCCTCAGCGCACAAGGCTGTGATTGGTCTGCTAACTACGTCCTTTACGGAGTCTCACATTTCCGTTGTCATAGCACAACACCGTGAAATATTGTCCCAATGTCCTCTGGACGTCTTTCCTTCCTGCCGTCCTCGGTTCTCCTCGAGTCTCGTCTTTGCTCTTTCTTCAAATCATCCTCTCCTCTCCTCTCCTCCCTTATCTTCTCCTCTTCTTTCCTTTCCTTAGTCCATCCTCTCTCCTGTCCTCTCCTCCTCTCTCCTCAGTCCATCTCCTTTCCTGAGTCCTCCATCACATCTTCTCCTCTCCTCATGTCTTCTCCTCAGCCATGCAGTCACTTTTCCTCCTCTACTTCTTCTCTCCTCTCCTGTTTTGCCTCCTATCTCCTACCACCTCCCTTCCTCTCCTCTCCATCTCTCTCTCCCTCTTCTGTGTCCTCCTTTCAAAATGTATCCTCTCCTCCCCTCCTACATCCTCTACAGTCGTCTATTTCCTCTTTCCTCACCTCTCTCACCCTTTGTCACCTTTTTTCTCCCCCATTCCAGCAGTTCTCGTGTCCCTTTCTTCTGTCTTATTGGTTGCATTTGATTCTTTTGTTCCCTCATTTCCTTCTTGACGTCTCCTCACCGCTCCGCTCTCCTCCTCTCACACCTCAAACCCTCTCCCCTTCCCCCAAAAGTTGAATATTTGAAGAAAAATCCCTTCGACCCGACAACAGAACAACCCACAAGGAGATTAAATGCTTTATGACTTACTATAGTATGACTTTTCATGGTTTATTAAATCATACCATACTATGGAGTTTTTAAATGTATGTCAAAATAGGCAATATATTGTATATGTAAGACACACCCTCCTCCAGCCACTGAACATTTGCACTGTTATTGTATATCCATTTCTTACTGTTCATATTGCATAACAATTTCTTACTGTACATATATATTTATTAACTTATTACACTTTACATATGCACATACTCTGCACTTTTTGCTATTTTGCACTTCTGGTTGGATGTTAAACTGCATTTCGTTGCCTCAGTACTTGTACCCTGTGCAGTGACAATAAAGTTGAATCTAATCTAATGTAATACACATGTATATAATACTTTTTGGGAATACTTTAATAGAAAAACTATGACATACAATACTACTTCTTTTAAAAAAATACACAGTGTTCTTTTTGTTACTTTCATAAACATACATTGACTATACTTTACATTTTTATGACTTCCTCCTCATTCGTCCTCCTTAACTTCTCACTGTCATTTTCATTCTCGTCATAGTCGTGGTTCTAATCGTCTGGCTTTGTATTGATCGAAGGAAAATAATCGGTAAGTCCAAGTAAATATTCCAACAAATAATCTCAACATCTGTAAAATCCTCTTTGTTTCCTCTACATAGAAACTCAATGTCTCCAAGTCCTCCATAACTATGTACCCACCTGTTTGGTTAAATAGCCCAATATCACAAATCACAGTTTGCATCCGAGCGCTGAACAATCTGTACAACACAGGACGTCTTTTACTGCATCAGATAAGGAAACACGTCTGTTAAAATATACATGTGATATTTTACCAAAAGGTGCTTTTTATCTCACTGGGATTGTCATGATTTGCTGTTTTGATACAAACATCCCAAAACATCAAATCCAACACGTCAACATGTGCTTCTGTTTGAGGATGGAGTAAATTAGACACCACCCAAAAGATGGAGTCACTTTATCTGCAGCTCAAGTAAAGTAAATGTACAACAGTTCAGATCTTTAAAGGGCTGTTTGTTCTTCTTCCATCACTGACCTGCAGGTTTAACACAGAAACATGAACTTTTTCAGGAAGGAGCTGCTTGGTTAAGCGTTACGTCTTTAAACTAATTTAAGACATTTTTAGGATCCAAACTTTGCACCAAGGTTGTTTCGAGGTGGCTTCGTGCTGCTACATCCTCACATCTGCTGCTTGCTTGTAATCAGATCTGTGGAAAATAGAACCATTAAGAAGTCTCAAGTCACCTTTTCTTACGTGTGTGATTTATCCTGCAGAACGAAACATCAGCACCTCAGAATGAGAACTCCACCTTCAGCTCGGTGGGACTTCATGCTGGATCGAAGTTTTTTCTTGCCAAAATGCATCTTTGAGTCACGTTTTTAATGTCTTTCCTTCACCAGGAAATATCTGCAAAGCTGAATTTATAAATCCTTTAAATCCTAAATAGTTTGCGTCCATGTTTGCTGCTCTGCGCTCGTCTTCCTCTTTTCTTCTCCTGGTGTGTTGCTGCCACCAGCTGTGAGTCAGTGGAACATCATCACGGGTTTAGAAGGTGACCTTTAAGTGGGAGCTTTCCTCCCGGGCAGCGTGACGTGTTTGACATCCATTTCTTTGTTGGTGCTTCTTGAAGTCCACGAGGTGAACAGTGATGACGGCAGACACCATGATGATCAGACCCACAGAGAACACCACCATCTTCACCAGGAACACTGAACCTGAAACACACCACAGGTGGATTCATCACAAACACAACACGTCTGTGCTTTCTGCTTGAGTTTGTATTTAACCCCTGCGTCCCTGACGAGGAGCTTTAGAGACGCTCAGAACTCAGAATTCACTCAGAAAACAAGACAATCGTTTCTTTACAACACAGAAAGGGTGAAACTACAACCTGTTATCAGGAAGTCGTCTCCTCTTTGTCTTACCAGCATGTTCGGGGCAAAGGTGTTTAGCAGTATTAAAGTCCGGGGTCCAGTGAACCTGGTTGCTATGGTTACAGTTGATCACGTTGTTCAACACGTAGACCTGAAGAGAAGCCCCAGAGGTCGTGACCTCTGGTCGCTCTCCTCCCTCCTGACTGCAGACTCGTTTAGAACATCTGAAAGTGCTGCTGATGTCAGAGTTGTGAGTCCTGCAGGTCACATGGAGGTCACATGACTCTGAGCTGCTGGAGTCCACTCGGTCCACGATCAGTTCAACTGGAGACACTGGTCCTGAGGGGGGGGGAGGTTTCTGTGAAGAGTTTATGAAACATGGCGGCAGAAACTATCAGTGAAATGTTTACAGACTCACCTTGAACTGTGACCTTGTATTCAGTCAGTAGTTTGTCTCTTTGAAGTGTTCGTGCTTCAGCAGAATAAACTCCACTGTCGACCTCTTGTACATTCTTCAATCTCACAGAGAATTTATTCTCAGGAAACTCAAACCCTCCAGTGGAATTCCGAAGGACATTTGGTTCTCCACTAGGATCAAATCTTACTAAAGTGACTGTTTTATTGATTTTCCAGTTAACAAGTAAAACCCCCTCAGGGGGATCAGCATGAAGCTTGAGGAGCAGATCACGTCCCTTCAGCACAAACACAGGAGTCACAATGGTTCCTGTAAAAACAGTAGACACATGATACAATAAACATCACACACAATATGTGATGAATCATTCACTGCTGAATGTTCCTCCATCACTACACTTTATTTATTACACATTGAACCAGCGGTTCACCTTCAGCTCATCACTGCTTAACATAAAGTGACAGAAGTCTCTTCAAATGTCTCACGTCGTCTCTTCCTGAGGACACAGAGAAGCTTAACAGCAGAAACTAAACCCACTGAGAGCAAGTTGCTGCTCAAAGTTCTTCTTCTTGACGTGACAAAGTATTTCCATTCTGTCTCTTTGTCCTCTGTCCCTCCGTCTCACCACACTAATGTCCCCCAGCATCAGCTACACTGAACATGGACGACTTTAGAAAATAAGACGTCCACAGACTGAACGCTGAAGGAGTTAAACTCTGAGAGGAGTAAAGGTCAACATTTGTCTTGGAGGGAAAGAAGCGTTCAGCCCGTTTCAACAAGTGGTGAGAAAGTGTCTAAAAGCACCTGAATGTTTCCTCTGAATCACACACGTCTTCTGTTGGAACACTTAGAATATTCACTGAATACAACGTGGAAATTAAGGAAGATTTTTAAATGAAAATAGTAAACTAATACTGAGACTATTTCCTGCCTCTGAGCTCCGTACAAGAAGGAACAACACGAATCCTGATTAACCACAAAGAAACACAGAAAGATTCAAAAATACATTTTTAACCCAACTTCTATTGTAGAAATAGTGCTGCGGTATAAAAGCTTTGACCTTGAAAACGACAACAAAATACATATAAAATCAAGTCCTCACCTTGTGCTTCACATAATGTCAGCAGAGAAACAAAGAGAAGCTCGACGCACGACTTCATTGTGCAGAATGAAAGTATGATGATGAAACGAGTGGAGAACGTTTTACTTCCCTTCAAAGCAACAACCAATTACTTCAAAGATTGTTAAAATAAAGCCATATATGTCTCTATGTGGTTGACTTGTAACTACCGTCACATCATGACGTGGGCTCATATTTTATTATTAATGGTCTCTTCACAACATCAGCTCCGACTGCTCGTCTGTAGGAACTCTGTACGGCCACCAAACAAAATACTCTAATTAAACCAGAGAAATGTGTCCTTCTGCACTAAACACTATAAACATTCCACAGCTTGATGTTAATTCAATCAAATGTCATTTAACAAATACAAACAATTTCCTACATATTTAACTCCATCATCTTCATCACTGCTTCATCAGCATTTCCAACATCTTTGACTCAAAGATCACTTTCACATCCTCAGCACTCACCTCTGGTCCTCATCACGTCCTTGTTGCCTCAACGGGGAAATTTAATAGGATTCCACTAAATATTCGCTAATTCAATGTTAGTAATAAGAAATAGAAGTAGGGTTCCATGTCACACAGAGAGGAGAGCTTCTAATAATAAAGTAACTGCTGCAAACCACAGTGACCTGATGTTTATATTCAGGTCGCAGACGTTTGAGATGAAACTTTTTCTACTTTTGTCGTTACTTTAAAGCTGCTGAGACACAAACAGAAAATCCACATAAGCTTCGTTGGAATGAAACGTCTATTCAAACGTGTGTGACCGCTTCAAATTCAATGTTGTTTAATATCAAAGTGTTTTAGTCGCATCAAAAAGCTCATCTTCCTACATTAAGGTCCCAAGTTCAGCAGCTGATCCTCCAAAGGTGCAAATGTACATCAGGTGTTTATATGACATGATATAAAGTGCTAACTGTCAATAACAGACAAACCATCGACAGACTCAGTCGAGGCTTCAACACAATATATTCAATCTGAAGTTTGTAGTTCTACATTAACAGAAAGTGCTTTATTTAACATTTTACAGTGCGTTGTCATTTTGTCTGTGTGTCTTTAACTCAAGGTCTTCTGTCGTTGTACAACAGGAAATATAAAAATACCATGATAGTGTTTTGGGGTTTTGTGAAACTTGCCTTATCACTCATTTGTGTTTTTATATTATAAACAGAGAATTTAGAAATTAAATTCATAAGACTATAAATGTGTGGAGCATGTGTGTAATAATCCTGATTATTTTATAGGAATTATTGTAGGTTCTACCCCGTCTGTGTTAACTTACACGGGTTATTCTCTTTTTGGTTTGACGTTTAGAAAAAAGGGGAGGAGCCAAACGAATCGCGGTCACCTGCAGCTCCCTGATTACATCACTGTTTTATTTGTTTTGATGGGGAGGTTTACCGTGCAAATTAAAAACTCCACCTGCTATTTCCTTTGTTATAAGGTGTGTGTGTGTGAGGTGTGTGTGCACTCGCCACACTGAAATAGAAGCAGTAGCTGCAGTCAGCAGTGTGTTAGGCCTTCATGTGAGTTACAGTCGTCCTCCATGTTTTATCTCCCCAGACGTCGTCCAGAGGTTCCATTCAGTCTAAAAGTGTCCGAGCTGTTTCCACGTGATGTTTCCTTCCACTCCGTCACCGTTCACACGTTGCTGATGCGAACACTGAGGGGAGTGTCTCTCGCCCGGCCTCGTTCCCCCCCTCTGTCCCGGTAGTTCTGCTCCAGACGGATCTTCTCTGGATCGGACACATCTGGCACGGGCCCGGCCCCGTTGCTCTGGGACACAGTATGGAGACGTGTAATACAAAGGGGAGGAAGGAAGGTGGAATTTGTACAAAATACAGAATTTAAAAAAGGGACTCAGTGGAGTTTCTGACCACCAGGAGTAACTTTACTATGAGCTGGTTGATTAGATGCTCAATCAGGTGAAATAAATCCTGCCAGTGGTTTCCACTACTGCACCGATCGACCGTTTGTAAAGGTGATGCTTCAGGAGATGCAGCGATGCACCAAAAGCAGAAGAGGAAGAGGTTTGCTATAAGAACACAGAATGTAGAAGATAAAAGAAAGAAGAGGAACTAAAGGCAGGAAGGGTCATTCACACAAGCAGCTGACAAACCCCTCAAACGAGGAAGTTTAGGGCTGATCGGCAGTTCAGATTTCTGTCAAGTCATTTCTTAGAAAACAACGTCATGTTTTATAAATAAAAATGTAAATGTTTTACAGAGAAATGTTGCTGTAGGTGGAAGGAAGCAGCCTTACGTGAATTACCACTCGTCCTTTTTCCCAGTTGGATGGAAGCAAAATGCTTAAATGGGTTAGGGACATTGGGTGGGGTGGAGGGGGGTGCGTGTGGGGTGGTGAGTGTGAGTTGGATAATCCAGAGAGTCAGGAGAGGTGTTTCTGCACGGCCTCATCTTTCCTGATCGACGCGGCGAGCCGTAGTCCAGGGCGGTCCAAAAGGTCTCCGGTCGATTCTTCCTCTGTCAGTGTCCAGCAGGTCTTTTTGAGGATTCCTCTCGTAGGACACCACAGGTCCAGCTACCAGGGATCTGCTGTTTTGTTTGTCCCTTCGTCTCTCACTCCTCTTTCCTATGACGTGCAGCCTGTCATGTCACGGTGTGGTTCACTTCCTGTTGTATTTTGTAGTTTTCTGACACTCGTGTCCCCGGGTAACTTCACTTCCTGCCTTGTCCCGTCATCCCCTGTGATTGTCTAATAGTTTCCACCTGTGTCCAATCACCTGCACCTCCCTTGTGTATTTAAGCCGTGTGTCTCTTGTGTCACTTGTCGCGTCATTGTCTTTCGCCACGCATGTCCGTGTCCCTTGTTGTGGGTATCTGTAAGTTGCATGCCTGTGTGTTTTTGCCCCTTGGCCTTGGATTTTTGACCTTCGACTATTAAAGTCCTTTTTGTTTCCCGCAAGTCTGCGTTTGAGTCCTGCCTCCCACCCGCACCCCTGACAGAATGACGCGACCAAAGAAGGACTCAGCAGAGTTTTTTCCCCTGGAAGACTTCAGGGGAACCCGTCTGGCAATGGGCGGTCCACGCAATCTCCAGCGGAATGGGGGTAATGGGGGAAAGGTCCTCCCGGGGGTTCCAGCTGGGTACCTGTACTACTCCGTCTCCCCATCTGGAGCCCTCAGTAGGCATCTGGGTCACCATCCGCCGCCCACCACGTGGTCCCCAGAGGAGGAGGCCATTTCGTGGTCGTCCGGCGGCGATTCTCACTGGGAGCGGGTAATGGACCTTGCGGTCCGACTCCAGGCCACCTATGCTCCCCACGCTCTGTCGCAGCGCACAATGTCCAGCGCTGGGCCGCAGCGACGTCCCGACCCCGCTCGGTCGCAGCGCACAATGTCCAGCGCTGGGCCGCAGCGACGTCCCGACCCCGCTCGGTCGCAGCGCAAGATGTCCCGCGCTGTGCCGCAGCAGATTCCCGTCCCGGCCTCCCGACCCAAGCCCATGACTCCTGATCCGACGCCCCGATCCAGGTCCACGACCTCCGAGCCAGCGCCACGATCCATGCCCCCGACCCCCGAGCCAGCGCCACGATCCATGCCCCCGACCCCCGAGCCAGCGCCACGATCCATGCCCCCGACCCCCGAGCCAGTGGCACGATCCATGCCCCCGACCCCCGAGCCAGTGGCACGATCCATGCCCCCGACCCGACCAGTACCGGCCCCACGTTCCATGCCCCCGACTCGGCCAGTACCGGCCCCACGTTCCATGCCCTCGACTCGGCCCAGTTCCCGGCTCCGAGACTCACACCCCGACTCCGCCAGTTCCCGCTCCGAGACTCACGACCCTTGACGTCCCCAGTCCCCGCTCGAGACTCACGACCCTGACGCCCCAGTCCCCGCTCCGGAGAACTTAAGCTCCTTGCTTACCATTCATGGTCTGTTTCAACCCTTCTCGTTAGTGATTTTGAGGGCGGTCTGGTATCCGGGCCCTTGAGGGGGG